CTGATTTTGATCAAGTAAAGGTCAGAATAACTGCAGTAATATCTCCAGATGAACACTTACTGGACTGAAGCAGCTCAGCTTTACTTGATTCTCCATCAATCATGTTTTAGAGTCTCAAATCTGATCCTCAGGATCTTTTGAGGAGCGTTTGTTTCCAGAAGCTTTACTTTCACTGTTCCTCAGCGGAGGAATGATCTTCACAAGCCTCCAGAACATCTCACATCTTCTGAGGAGCCTTTATTTCTTCAGCTCTCAATCACTGCATTATATGTTTGGAGCATTTCAGTCTCATCTTATTATTACTGGAGATATAGAGTGACCGCTGATATTTAGATCATTTTATGTGCTGTACTGTTATAAACATCTCACTGATTTACATCACAAGCATCAGAATTTCATCATATAAATATCAACATCTGCAGCAAATTCATATTTTTGTTTAGTCTGAGTCTGGCTGTCAGGCTGTACGGGGTTAAACTTGGAAATAAAGTCTTTTATAAAGAAAGAGTGTGTGTGAGTGTGTGTGTGTGTGAGCGTGTGTGAGAGAGTGTGCACGTGTGTGTGAGTGTGAGAGAGAGAGAAAGAGTGTGTGTGTGTGAGAGAGAGAGAGACCGAACAAAACCAAGAAAGACAAGGTGAGACACAACCACTGTAGAGCAAGACCTGTGAAAGCGCGCAAAATGCGGGTTTATTCTTCAGTCAGCGGCAGATTAGTTGCAGCTCTCAGCTCGAGACGGTAGCATGTATGCTAACTCCAGCTTCGCCTCATAAACGGGCTTTTATCGCGATGAGTTACACTCTGGGTTATAAACTTTAAACGATGCACACCCCTGGAGGCGAAACAAAGCACTTTAGGCGACTTTGCATGTGTATCTTTGTGCAGTTTATTTGGTCGGTGTTCAGTTTCGTGGCGAAGCTAACTTTAGCATGTTAGCGGAGTAATTGGTTTGTCGTTTATAGAAATATCCCCTTCATCCAAATTCGAGCTGAAATGTCCCAAAATGCTGTTCTATGAAAATTAATCGCATGCATTTTATTATATTTGGTGTTGGAGTCCAGATTTGGACATGCAACACTTAAGCCGGGTTTCTAATGCGAGCTGTCAGTGAGGTGGTCTGTAGTTTTATTAGCCAATAATGATTAATATCAGCTTTTTAGGGACATTTAAGGATGCTGTTTATTCTCTTTATAGGATTCACCAAAATCTGCAAGAGTGAGTAAAACAGGAGGGCAGGAGAACTCGGAGCATGAGGTAACTTAACTTCATTTAGCTCTATTTTAGTTATGCATGCATTTAAAACGTGCTTATATTCTATAGAATTATCTGTTATCTGAAATGACATGCATGTGCAGAAAGTATTTTAATGCTGAACTGGGGTGTTTTTATTATCCAGATTAAGCCTCTTTTACACTAAAATGTGGCCATAGATTAAAGGTCGTTATGCATTGATGCTTTGTAGCAGATTTCTGAATGAAGATGTGCAGTTACAGTGTCTTCTGTTCATGCATTTTCATTTTAAGCCTAGCATTTTGATGTTGCTTCATGCAAACGTTGTGCATCAACAAGCCACTGCCTTCATGAGCTCTATTGTTAAAGAACCCCTAAAAATTAATACAAATGTAAAAATCAAGTCATAAATTATAAACCATAGAAATATGTTAAAAATGTGCAACTATTGTAAATTGTTATAAAATATAATGCAAAAAATATAAACAAAGTGTGCTGTCAAACGATTAATCGCATCCAAAATAAGTTTTTGTTTCACTTTATATGTTATGAATTTATAAATACAAGCACATGCATGTATATATTTAAGAAAAATATTGTAAATATTATAATATTATAATATTGTGTAGTATTGTAAATATATTTATATATAATTAAAAATATATTAATATAAATATATGTATGTAAATATTTTCAAAATATATACTGTATGTGTGTGCATTTATATATACGTAATAAATATACACAGAACACACACATATATTGAACAATAATAAACAAAAACTTTTATTTTGGATGCGATTAATTGTTTGACAGCACTAGCTTTTAAAATGTTACCAAAAAAAGCTAAAAAAAAAAATAAAATATTTAAATACACCAATTTTTTTTTTTTTTTTAAATTGGCAAGCTTATTGTAAATTGTTACTAAAAATGTGATAAAAATTTTCAAAAACATAAAGATGTGTTTAAAACTGTTAACCTTTATTTAAAATTGTTCGAAAAAAACAATAACATTACAGTAAAAATAAAGTTAAGCATGTTTAAAAATATAAAAAGTTCTTGTAAATTGTTACTTTAAAAACACGAAACAAAAAATGTGTTTACAATGTGCAGCTTTGTTTGTTACAACTGTAAAAAATAAAAATAAATGTATTTAAAAATGTGCAAGCTTTATTGTAAATGGTTGCTAAAAAAAAAAAAAAAAAACGATATAAACACTGTCTTTACATTGCATCTGTGCGATAAATATTCAACTTATTAAAGGATATTTGTAGCTTAATGGTTACAGATCTGATCTGCTGTTATAAAGGTTCTGTTCCCTCTGTGTTTTTGTTGTTTCTGAGCTAAAGACATTTACAAAACATTCAGCAAAAATGCATAAGCATGATAAAAATCTTTTCTTGTGACCTGCTCCATGTTGGAGAGATGAAGATGTAAGGTGTTTTTCTCCATCAGGGCTCGAATAAGAAGGGCGCTAACAGCGTCCCACCCGCCACACAGCTGCTGAAGAGCAAAGCGGCCGGATCTCAGACGCCGCTGAAGAAGGAGAAGAGGCCGAGCTCGTCTCGATTCAGTCTGAGCAACAACCGAGAGCTGCAGAAACTGCCTGCGTTCAAAGGTGAGACACACTGGATTTGATTGGCTGGTGAAAAGTGTTCTGCGATATTATTGGTGGATATTGCTTAGCCCCGCCCACACGGACTCGATTACATCAGCAGAAAAGGAAAGTCGTTTCAGAGGTGGAGCAATAATTACGTTTTGATGCCATAATTACAGATTTTATTTCTATTACAAAACTTTTATTTTGGTTGCGATGAATCGTGATGAATCGTTTGACAGCACTAAGAGAAATGATCTATCTATCTATCTAGATAGATAGACCGATAGATAGACAGACCGATAGATAGATAGATAGCTAGATAGATAGATAGATCATTTCTCTTAGTGCTGTCAAACGATTCATCACGATTCATCGCAACCAAAATAAAAGTTTTGTACTAGAAATAAAATCTGTAATTATGGCATCTGTCTATCTATCTATCGATCTATCTATCGGTCTGTCTCTCTATTGGTCTGTCTATCTATCGGCCTATCTATCTATCTATCGATCTATCTATCGGTCTGTCTCTCTATTGGTCTGTCTATCTATCGGCCTATCTATCTATCTATCGATCTATCTATCGGTCTGTCTCTCTATTGGTCTGTCTATCTATCGGCCTATCTATCTATCTATCGATCTATCTATCGGTCTGTCTCTCTATTGGTCTGTCTATCTATCGGCCTATCTATCTATCTATCGATCTATCTATCGGTCTGTCTCTCTATTGGTCTGTCTATCTATCGGCCTATCTATCTATCTATCGATCTATCTATCGGTCTGTCTCTCTATTGGTCTGTCTATCTATCGGCCTATCTATCTATCTATCGATCTATCTATCGGTCTGTCTCTCTATTGGTCTGTCTATCTATCGGCCTATCTATCTATCTATCGATCTATCTATCGGTCTGTCTCTCTATTGGTCTGTCTATCTATCGGCCTATCTATCTATCTATCGATCTATCTATCGGTCTGTCTCTCTATTGGTCTGTCTATCTATCGGCCTATCTATCTATCTATCGATCTATCTATCGGTCTGTCTCTCTATTGGTCTGTCTATCTATCGGCCTATCTATCTATCTATCGATCTATCTATCGGTCTGTCTCTCTATTGGTCTGTCTATCTATCGGCCTATCTATCTATCTATCGATCTATCTATCGGTCTGTCTCTCTATTGGTCTGTCTATCTATCGGCCTATCTATCTATCTATCGATCTATCTATCGGTCTGTCTCTCTATTGGTCTGTCTATCTATCGGCCTATCTATCTATCTATCGATCTATCTATCGGTCTGTCTCTCTATTGGTCTGTCTATCTATCGGCCTATCTATCTATCTATCGATCTATCTATCGGTCTGTCTCTCTATTGGTCTGTCTATCTATCGGCCTATCTATCTATCTATCGATCTATCTATCGGTCTGTCTCTCTATTGGTCTGTCTATCTATCGGCCTATCTATCTATCTATCGATCTATCTATCGGTCTGTCTCTCTATTGGTCTGTCTATCTATCGGCCTATCTATCTATCTATCGATCTATCTATCGGTCTGTCTCTCTATTGGTCTGTCTATCTATCGGCCTATCTATCTATCTATCGATCTATCTATCGGTCTGTCTCTCTATTGGTCTGTCTATCTATCGGCCTATCTATCTATCTATCGATCTATCTATCGGTCTGTCTCTCTATTGGTCTGTCTATCTATCGGCCTATCTATCTATCTATCGATCTATCTATCGGTCTGTCTCTCTATTGGTCTGTCTATCTATCGGCCTATCTATCTATCTATCGATCTATCTATCGGTCTGTCTCTCTATTGGTCTGTCTATCTATCGGCCTATCTATCTATCTATCGATCTATCTATCGGTCTGTCTCTCTATTGGTCTGTCTATCTATCGGCCTATCTATCTATCTATCGATCTATCTATCGGTCTGTCTCTCTATTGGTCTGTCTATCTATCGGCCTATCTATCTATCTATCGATCTATCTATCGGTCTGTCTCTCTATTGGTCTGTCTATCTATCGGCCTATCTATCTATCTATCGATCTATCTATCGGTCTGTCTCTCTATTGGTCTGTCTATCTATCGGCCTATCTATCTATCTATCGATCTATCTATCGGTCTGTCTCTCTATTGGTCTGTCTATCTATCGGCCTATCTATCTATCTATCGATCTATCTATCGGTCTGTCTCTCTATTGGTCTGTCTATCTATCGGCCTATCTATCTATCTATCGATCTATCTATCGGTCTGTCTCTCTATTGGTCTGTCTATCTATCGGCCTATCTATCTATCTATCGATCTATCTATCGGTCTGTCTCTCTATTGGTCTGTCTATCTATCGGCCTATCTATCTATCTATCGATCTATCTATCGGTCTGTCTCTCTATTGGTCTGTCTATCTATCGGCCTATCTATCTATCTATCGATCTATCTATCGGTCTGTCTCTCTATTGGTCTGTCTATCTATCGGCCTATCTATCTATCTATCGATCTATCTATCGGTCTGTCTCTCTATTGGTCTGTCTATCTATCGGCCTATCTATCTATCTATCGATCTATCTATCGGTCTGTCTCTCTATTGGTCTGTCTATCTATCGGCCTATCTATCTATCTATCGATCTATCTATCGGTCTGTCTCTCTATTGGTCTGTCTATCTATCGGCCTATCTATCTATCTATCGATCTATCTATCGGTCTGTCTCTCTATTGGTCTGTCTATCTATCGGCCTATCTATCTATCTATCGATCTATCTATCGGTCTGTCTCTCTATTGGTCTGTCTATCTATCGGCCTATCTATCTATCTATCGATCTATCTATCGGTCTGTCTCTCTATTGGTCTGTCTATCTATCGGCCTATCTATCTATCTATCGATCTATCTATCGGTCTGTCTCTCTATTGGTCTGTCTATCTATCGGCCTATCTATCTATCTATCGATCTATCTATCGGTCTGTCTCTCTATTGGTCTGTCTATCTATCGGCCTATCTATCTATCTATCGATCTATCTATCGGTCTGTCTCTCTATTGGTCTGTCTATCTATCGGCCTATCTATCTATCTATCGATCTATCTATCGGTCTGTCTCTCTATTGGTCTGTCTATCTATCGGTCTATCTATCTAGATAGATAGATAGATAGATAGATAGATAGACCGATAGATGATCCAAAACAAAGACAAACCAGAGATCATTTCTAAATGATGATGACCTGAAGTGAGGAACGTGTTTGAGTCGGTCAGAGAAGCACTGGATGTGCTCTTTTCTCTTTTACACATTTATTCAGTGAGTTTAAAATGAATCGAATGCATTGAAATGCCTGATCGCTGTGAATCTTGACCTCTGGATTCGTGGTATATTTATTATGAAAGCCTCTGTTCGTGCCCTCAGACAGAACAGGGCTGAATCCGGGAGTCTTATGTAATTTAGCTGATAGATGCCGATGTGTTTGTTGACTCTTCTCGTGGAAATGAACTTAAACCTGAATAAATCCAGCTGTTTTCTGACGTTTGACTCTTCTGAACTGCAGCGTCTAGAACTGAACATGTGTTAAATATGTTTGGATTCACATACTAATGCTGTTTCTGAAGCGTCCCACAATGCAGTGCGCTCGACCTTCCCTTCCCAGCATGATGCATGTGCAGCTAGTGATTATTATCATCTGCTTCACTCATTATTTAATTTGCCAAAAGTTCTAAAGATATCTATCTGTCTGTCTGTCTATCCGTCTATCTATCCATCTATCTATCGGTCGGTCTATCTATCTATCGGTCTGTCTATCTATCTATCGGTCTGTCTATCTGTCTATCTATCGGTCTGTCTATCGGTCTGTCTATCTATCGGTCTGTCTATCGGTCTGTCTATCTATCGGTCTGTCTATCGGTCTGTCTATCTATCGGTCTGTCTATC